TTCTTCTTCTTCTTCTTCTTCTTCTTCTTCTTCTTCTTCTTCTTCTTCTTCTTCTTCTTCTTCTTCTTCTTCTTCTTCTTCTTCTTCTCCTTCTATCACTGAGTTAGATCCTTCTAACTTTGAGGACTTGATAGACATTGATCTATCAGAGTTTAATGAGTCGCTAGCCCTTCTTACTAACTATTTCAGGACGTTCGCAAGAAAAAGCATCTATCACAGATCTCCTTCCCTAACCATATCTGACAAGCCAAAGTCAAATCCGATTGATAAGACTTCAGCTAATTGCTATAATTGTCAACACAAAGGACACTTTGCTAGTGAATGCAGGTCAAAGAAAGATGCGAATCCATCTGAAACTGAGGGAGAAGTACAAGAAGATAAAGAATCTTCAGCGTAAAGGCAAAGATCTTGTCGCTGAAGAACATGACTGAGCTTATTCATGAATCATCCTCGAACCCGGAAGATAGGTCCTATCTCTGTCTTATGGCCAAGGATGTCAAAGATGAACCATTTGAGACATCATCCTCCAGTGATCCCTCGCCATCAACCTATACTCAGGTACGTAATCTGAGTGACCCTTCTTCTACTTCTTTCTCTAATAGTCTATCTGCACTAGATACGCTGACGGTGGACCTTTACAATGCCCTGAATGGCAAATCCAAAGCTGAAAAGCTTAATGTTGATCTTCAAGAACAGTTAGAGATAAGTCATTCAAAGATCAAAGAGCTGACTAAGATTGAAGAAGATCTTAATGATCAGGTCATTATAAACCAAACCATTAGCATCAAACGCGAGTAGGCTATCGCTGAGCATGATCAAACAATTGTTGAACTCAAGGATGAAAAGGCTACCATTGAAGGATGGTTTAAAGCCTCTCTTAAAGCCAATGAGATCATTAACGCTCAGATCCCCGCGAATATAAAGAGTGGTCTAGGATTTTCTTATGATCAGGAAGATTGTGTCACTGACAAGTCCATGCTTAAGTTTTATACTTTTGTCTCTTCTATTCCTGACGCTTCTTCCTCTTAGTACTCTACTACTGAAACTCTTCTTGAAGGAACTTCTCTAAGTTCAGAATGCAAAGACAAAGGTAAAACCATTGTCAGCATTCCTCCTCTTCCTAAGAAGGACTGCAAGTCGAATAGGACCCGTTCTATTCCTTCAGCTTGTAAACCTTCTTCCTCAGGGATAAAGGTCCTGAACCTTCTCAGAGATCTAAGCCTAAGCTTAAAGTTAATCTTTCACTCAAGGTATCTAAGCCCCCATTTGTTCCTCCTCGAACTAATGAGAAAGGTATTCTTGGAGCTTCTCCCTCTTCTCTTCTTTTTGACTCTTCTGGCCCTAAAGCTTCTTTTAGCTATAGTAAGTGTCGTCACTGTGGTGAGACTACTCATGTCATCAGTAAGTATCCTTCAGACACCAAATCTGGTTCGTCAGCCAAGATAAAGAAAGTAACTAAGGCTGAAAAGTCAGCCAAAGTGAAACCAATCACTAAAGTTGTGAAAACAACTAAATTGAAGAATATGATTGAAGCCTCTTCTTCAGGCTTGGTGAAGACTCTTGCTGACTCTGAGTCTTCAGTGTTAGTGAAGAAAGATGTCACCTCTAACTTTGCTGGACCCATTGAGAAATGGGTACCAAAGCAATCTTAATGTCTTTTCTATTGCAGGAAGTCAAAGGCATCTGGTATCTAGATAATAGATGTTCAAAACACATGATCGGGGATGGTCGGTTATTATTTCACACCTTTAGACTAATGAAATTAGGCCACAAAGCAAGTATACAATACGGCCTAACGTCGTCTTTCCAAGTAATAAAGTGGTACAAGTACCGGATTATCGTCCACAGGGATTGTAGCCAAAGTTAGATTAGAGTCCAATGAAAGAGATGATTTCAGATGGCGATTTTGAAGACTTTTGTTTGATTTTAAGGCGATCCAAAACAGAATACAAAATATATAAAAGAAGCAAGGGTGTAAGACTTAAGGTGAGATCCAAACACAAATTCCAGCAGCCAATACTGTAGCAATGTCAAAGGAATGCTACAGCAAGCAGTGTTTCGAAACTAAGTCCCACCATCTATTTTGAAGGCATTCCTCTCGGACTTCACCATTKCACTATCTTATAGCTTTCCACCCATATCTCTATGTGGTGTCCAGACCGGGGATAGTGACACGATGGTGTTTTCAAAATATATGGATAAACAAATCTCTT